CTTTTTGGCACCGAGTGCCGAAAAGGGTGCAAGCACACGCTCGTCTGGGCCACAACCTGGATGAGGAGCTGCCAAGGGCACATGTGTGTGCCCAAAAATAAACTTTTGGTTTCCAGCATGCGTAAGCATGTCAGCCAGCTAGTCTTCCGGGTTTCTAGCAATCATGCACGCATGATAATCTGCTGGCTGGCACACATGCTCACACAGGAAAATGGAAGACCAGTTTTTCCAGTTTACTGCACTATTGTATACACAAAGACCAGCTCATTGTCACACACACATGTGCACCAGAAACCCAGAAGAGTAATGGCTAGGATCGCATGTGCCAGATGACATGGTTCCATGTGCCACTTGGGGCACATGTGCCATAGGTTAGCCATCAGGGTTCTAGATTCTATCAAGTCAGTTTAGTACTATTGTGGTTCATAAGCTTCATAACCATAGACTGACTAGTTTTCTTGCAAAGGATAATTTGTTAACATCCAGATGTTTCCTTAGATACCTCCGAGTTAACATTTAGCATTACTGTCTAAAATTTCTTTAAAGCGCCAATCAAACATACTTAAAAAAAACAGTTGTGAACCATTTATAGCTAATACTCTGGCTAATACTCTGGGTGGGCATTCACTTCCCCTAGTGTTCTAATTCTGTCTTGAACATGAAGCCAGCTGGGCAGTCCCAAATCCCTTGTTTTCTCTCAAACCTAGAAAAGCGAAAATGGCAGACCATCTCTGAAACAACTTTGTCAAGAAAAATCCAGGGCCTTGTCCAAGCAGTCTCCAAGAATCAGACATGATTGAAAGTCAAAAAGGTGAAACTCGAGGAAGAATCATTGTGGGATGTTAAATTGATTTGCACAAATTCAATATACCTCCCATCAGTTGCAGATTAAGGCTCACTGGTGCTCTAAGCACTGACAAACCTTGGTGCCCGCCCCCCTACTTTGTATATACTGTACAAACGAAGCCAAGCTCATTGGTTTTTTTCTTCTTTCTCAACTTTGTGATGCCCCCTTTGGATCTGGTGCCCTTGGCCCATGCTTAGTCTGCTTAATGGTTAATACACCACTGCCTCCCATCATGAGCCATGCAAGCACAAAACAAATAATTCCTACTCTAGATATTCACCCAAAAGCATTAATACAGCATCTGTAGTGTGATCATTTAGTGAAAGTTTGAGTCATATGTTTTCTCATTAATTTATTGTATGTGATTCACATTGCAGATTTGGGCCATATATATAGACTGATGTGCCTCTCAAAGAAAGTGCCCATTCAATCTTTCCCTTTTTCAAAAGTGCAGAAGGAAAACCAGTGACATTTGAGGAGAAATCCAAGCAATTTCTTCCTTGCTTCCCAGCAGCTAGTAGATTTATCTTTTAGATAAATCTTTAAGATCTTTTTAGAGCTGGCTGCTGTGATGCTGAAGAGGTCTTCAAATAAATCTTGAAGAAAATGAAGCTGCTTACCCCAAACCCTTGGACTTAATGGTGAATGAGCACCTGCAATGGAATTTGAGACAAATGTTTTGAAACCTTTTTAATGCAGCTGTAGAAATTCCATTCAGATCATTGATGACACTCCAGTGAAAGGTTCGGTGGACTTTTGATCTACCATTTCGCCTCACTCACAAATGTGCTCAAGACAGAATGAAAATTCAGATTTTGGAAGGATCCAGTGTCCCACTTCCATTTCCTCAGCTACCCTTCTGGGCATTCAGCTAGTTCAAGGTCTCATACCTATTAAACTTTTAGACTTCTTAGGCTTTTATTGATATCTCTATCTCTTTGCCCAAAAACCCATAGGAAAAAAAATCCTAGGAAATAGATTGTCTAAGAAGAAGCTGTTGAGTGACTGGGGATAGAGAAAGGAAAATTTATCTGTGTTTCTGTGCTGGCTCATTGGGAAATAACTTTCCCATTTTGCCTGCCTTTACCCAGGTATTTTTGCAGTGCAAACTTCAATTTACACTCTAAGGTAAACCAAAGTCATTGCTGATATGGCTGTGAACACACAACAGAAAAAGCAGCCTAATAAATCTGATTAAAAGCTTAAAATAATTGCAATAGCAAGCAGAGTCACTGGGAGTCATGTGGCATATACATTTGATTAATAAAGTACATTTGTATGTGTGTCTCTGGGCAAGAGGGATGCCTTAATGTGTACATAAGTTCATTCTTGGTCCATTGTTCACTCCCCTTTGTTAATTATCTCTAAGTAAATCCAGTGGTAGACTCTTTCATCATTTTTCCCAGTCATTTGAGGTAGAATAGTTTCACCTCCATCTTGTGTGAAAAAAAATAACAATTATAAAAAGTAAGTCAGTCATGGAAAAATAATATTAATTAGAACTGTTGGGTCTCAAGGCAAATTTTATTTATGTATTAATTTATTAGATTTATATTGCCACCCATCTTATAAAGCATAGCTCTTGGAAGCTTACAATTACTGCAGTAGTGTATGTTGCTGATGAAGGAGACATTAGAGAACAGCAAGACAGGAGTGAAGATTTAGATTAAAGTTGGTTGCTGTACTTGCTTGTATGTGTTTTGATTTTGCATATGTAAATTCAATTTAACTTTGTGTGTAGGTGCATGTAATATATTTCTGCATCTTTATATCCACATCCACCTGCATACACACACTCACAAATATACACATGCCCAGTAGGATCTACCCACAGGAAGGAAAGAGATTGGCAATAATTTCTTGGAATGGAAAGTTGAAAAGACACTGAAATAGGTGAATTGTCCAGTGGAAGGATAGCCTTCTATCCAGACCAAGTATCTTCTAAATTATGTCCAGAACATCTTGATCCTGATAGAATTTTTCTAACAGAGAAAATAGCCATAGAGTTATACAGTCAGGTCGGTATGATGAACAGAGGAGAGGGACTGTTTAAGGGTGTGCTTGGAGTCTCCATATAAATTACTATCAAATCAAGGGCAGTTCACCCTCTTGTGCCCTACTCCATCTTTTAGAGAAGAAAGTTGTCTGGAATATTTTTTGAAAAGCCCGTGCTTGTCAGAATTTGTCTCCCAACAGATGCAAGGGTAATTAAAGTCTCTCACCATTATGATCCCATGCCTTCTTCACAGATCTGCAGTTTGCTTTCGAAAGGCATCGTCCACATCCTTTTGGTTGGATGACACCAATAATGGTGTTTTATTTGTTCTTTCACATATTTATAACTCCCTATAACTCAGTCCATTCATTTGGATTTCCGAGTAGAACCTTTTGCGCACAACACCATTCCTTCTTCTTTTCTATTCCTTTTACACATTTTTAAATGAATTGTATCCTTCATTTCCAGCCATGGGAGTCATCCTATCAGGTCTCCATTATACTATTAAATCATGTGTCCTTTCCTGTATTAAGAGGTCAATCTAATCTCATTTCCCATACTCTTGAGTATTAGCGTATAAAAAATGAAGGCTCTGAGCTTTACGAACCAAGGTTCTTTCTCCTGTTTCACTGAGCGGTTTAAAGAGACCTAATTTCATCAATTTCTCCCAATTCCTAGAGTGCAGTAATTTTTGTCTTAAGTCCTCATTTCAGAGTTTAAGTTTTGGTTTCTATCTTCTGCTGGACTTCCTACTCAAGCTTGCTATGTTTTGACCAAGCACATCCCTACCAGTTCTTGTGAGGTGCGATCCATCTTCTAGATAACCCATGGTTTCAGAAACCAAATATATCCCATCAGTATCATTTTTGTAGGGAGTTGCTGACTTGCATTATTCTTTCTCTTTCCAGTTCTCTTCCACAGTTTGGAAAGATGAATGGGAATTATTACCTGGAGCTTGAGCTTCTTCCTAAAATTTTCCAACTGATGAAATAGTTGTAACTGTTATTTTGCAGTATTATTGACCTCCTATGTATTAACAGAAAAGGACAATTCTCCATGGACTTGATAACTCTTCGAAGAACACTTCAGAGACTCATGAGTATGGTTGGTGTATATTTGCTTCAATTCTCCACAACAATGAACCATTAACAATGGTTCAACCATGAACCATTAACTACTTTCATTGTCTTCTTACAGGGCAAATTTTCATTCGCTCTGCTTTTTAGAAAGCCATTGTCCTATTTTCCTTGTTTTCCAGTTTTTCCTCTCTGCCATTTGGGGAAGCATTGTCCTGTCCTCCATGTTCTATCTTCCACCTTCTTTTCACAAAGACATGAAAAATGTTTCTAAATTTTAGCATTCCTGAATATCTTCTATGTCTGGTCTTTCAACTTGTCACTCTTACCCACTGGCCTGGCTCCACTGTTTTATTGTCTTTCTTATGGAAAGTTGCTTTCACTGTCAGTTTCTGTTGCTGAACTTTCTTTCTTTCAACTAATAAATTCTCCTCAGCTGAAATGTCGCCATTTGCTGCTCCAATACTTTAGCTTTTTCTTGACTACTATGAACTTACATTTCCACTGTTTTCAATCAGGAAGAATTATTGCAGGCACAATTTGCAGACTCTGTAAACTGATCAGTCCTATTAGCATACACCAGGATCTAGTATATACAAAGCCTCTCTATTTGTGTGCATTTGTGTGTATGTCAGTGGTGAGTTCTGGATCCCATTCCAACCGGTACTGTACTGGAATGGTATCTGATGCTCCAGGCAGGTTCCTCACCACTGGTGTATGTGTATGTGTGCACATAGATAAAAGTTATCCATAATGACATTTTTGATAAGTAGGAAGAGTTGGAATAAGTTACAAAATAAGACAGCAAAGTTTGACAGGAAGTACTATAAGAATTTGTTTATTTAGTAGCGCAGACGGATTCCTTAATATCTGGAGGTAATAAGCCAGTTTTATGATGGGAAAATATGAATGCCCTTGTAACTAATATTAATCATGCTGCCAGGATCAGGTTCTCTGCTCACTTTGCTAACAAAGCAAAAGTTACACAAACTGCCTAGAAAGTCCATTTGGGACACTGATTTTAGCTTGGAGAATTTCCCAGCAATGTCCTCATTTCATAGGCCCTCTATTTTTCTGACTCCTAGGTGTGCCAATGTTATCGGTGCAACCAAAAGGAAAGCAGAAGGGCTGTGCCGGCTGCAATCGTAAGATCAAGGACCGCTACCTTCTGAAGGCCTTGGATAAGTACTGGCATGAGGATTGCTTAAAGTGTGCCTGCTGCGACTGTCGCCTGGGAGAGGTTGGATCAACACTTTACACAAAAGCAAATCTCATTCTCTGCCGCAGAGATTACCTGAGGTAAATGGATATGGTTGTGCATATGTTTGGGCTATGATTATCTTACTCAGCTTAGCTTCCTTGCTCTGGCTGTATAAAGTAGATTTAGCTATATGAACAAGACTTCCAGTTGGAGGTTAGCAAAAGGATGCTTGGGTCCAGCGTGGGTTCTTAATCTTCTCAAAGCCAAGCTGGAAGGTACATAAACAATTGAAGGTATGTAGCTTGTTAGCTGTTGGGGAGCCCCAGAGCACCTGCTGAGATAGAAAGGACAGATAAGGCCATGGGGAGAAATTATTTGGATATTCATCTCATGAATGGACAAAAAAGGTCCTTGCACAACTCCTAAACCCTAAAGCTGGCTTAATAAAAGGCAATTACTTTGTTGACCTAATATGCTGTACCTCTGTCCTTTTACCACCATCCTCTTAAAATTCACCATATTATGATGGCCTGGTTCAGGGGTGGGTTTCTCGCCCCGTTCCAACCGATTCGGTTGGAACGGGGCCGGTGGCGTCCTTGTGCATGCGCGCAGTGCACGCATGCGTACTAGCACCTGTGCGATGCTCCAGCTGCTCCTGGAGGATCGCGCAGGCACTGTATGCATTCTGCGCATGCGTGGAAGCGCAGAACTCGTCAAAACCAGGTAAGAAACGCGGGCGGGTGGGTGGATCCTTTGGCGTTCCCGGAAGTTACTTACTTCTGGGTTCGCCGACCAACCGGTTCATGGGGACCGCCGCGAACCGCCTGAAACCCACCACTGGTGGGATCGCAATTTTAGCCTTTGTCCCTTGCATAATACT